GGGGTAAAAGTTCCCGGCAATAAGTACTCTTTTTGGTGTGAACGCAACATAAGGGGTACTAAGGGAACTAAAGGGGAAAAGTACGGGGAAAAGTACTCCGGTGTGAACGCAGCTAATGTGTTCTTTGTAACCAAATATCTCTCAAAGGGGCGTGGGGAGTGGCTCCTTATTTTCATCTAAAGTAACAGACAGAGAATCAGCACTTTTGAAACAGGGCTGAAACAGAGGGGATTATGGGATGCTGCAATGATCTGTTTGGTGTTTGGAGCCAAACACTTCAGAGACATGTTTTGTATATATCTGAGACCTATAATATATTGATGAAAAACAGTATAATAGGGGACCTTTAAGTAGTAGGGTACAGTATTTGAGTATATGTACTTCATTTTATTCCTCCACTGGTTATGGCCACGCTTTCATGTCTACATAAGCACAGATAAAAGCTTGTTGGCACAGTCTATTAGAACAATAATGGTATAACCCTGTCCTTCAGTTTATAACAGCACTTTTATCTCCTTTTTTCCACCACTGCTTGAATGCCTTTCCCTCTAAACCTGTGCCTGTAGTGCTCGGATTTACGGAGCTTAGGAGGAGTCCCTGAAGGCAGCGCCGGCCTCTCCTGATCCTCTCCGGAGAGAAGCTCCATGGAGAGGCGGAGGAGACGGGACTTCAGACCGGATCATGGCGGCGCCTCTCGGGCGGGACTCCCTACCGGAGCACTGCTCTTACGGTGTGTGCAGGGACGGCAGGGTCTTCTTCATCGAGTGAGTCTGGATTTCACGCTTTATTGCACCACAGCTCTCCGGTTTAACGGGAGTTAGAGCTGGTGTTTGCTTCCCGGTGGTGTAACAGGTGTTTTTTCTCTTCCCTGTATAATAGCGATGAAGCGCGCGCCACCACCTGGCTGCACCCACGCTCCGGTGAGCCAGTAAACTCCGGACATATGATCCGCTCAGGTACATTCAGCATGTTTGTTTCCACCTGTTGACTTTAATGTGTTTGTGTTCATGTCGCGGCCCAGTCCGAGGGGGAGGAAACTTTCAGGTGTCTCTCAACAAGTCTCTCGTTTGGGTTTTTATTTCAGACCTTCCTCGGGGATGGGAGGAAGGATTTACGGACGACGGGGCCAGTTTCTTCATAAAGTAAGAAGCGTTAATCATGACTTGTTTCTTCGTTATGCTACACGCTCACCTGCGCATTACTGAAAGTTACCGTGCAGCTTAACTGAACATGGCTCCTGTCTAATCACCGCTTCAGGGACAGAGTGGATTTACACGGGGAGTGTCTGGACTTACCTGATGACCCACTAATGACCCTGTCCTACAGACATCCGCTTTGTGTTGCTCAGGTTCCGCCCCTTAGCTTTTAGGCTACATTTGTTTTTTAGTGCAGTATTTTATTGCATTGATGCAAAACAGGTTGGATGCTTACATATTAAGTTGTGATACTGAGATGGTCAGTGGGAAAGGTACTCGTATTGAAGTTTTTTTATCAATACCACCGTATTTACTGAAGCCTACACTTGACATGCTATATCAGTGTGTTAACACAATAGAAAACTGAATTTACACCATATCATACATTTCAATATGCATTGTACAAAGATAACCCAAATGAAGAGCAGTGGTGTAATGTAATGAAGTACATTTACTAAGTAATAATAATTTTGAGAGACTTTACTTGAGTATTTAAACTTTTCTTTACTTTGTACTTCTACCCCAGTACAATTCAGTGGTACATTAGATTTAAAGTGGCCCTATTAGTGCATTAGAAACATACGTATGCAATAAAAAATAAAAACACAAACAGATGTACGTGTTAAACATGGAAGAGCTGTGTAGTTTTACAATTGGTAGCACTGTGCAAAATGAACAAGAACAACTCCTGCTTTAAAACTGTATTGGCATCCAAGTACCAAAAGCGCTCACTGTATGTCCCATCTCAAATCATTTTCATTTGATGAATATAACATTTTTAAAATACTTTTTTAGCTTGTGAATCCTCCAAAGGACTTTGCATTCAGCTATAGCTATGTACTCATAGGCTGATAACAAACCAATATTAGAGAGTGACCAGAAATCAGACAACAATATATTGGCTTTTTTGCATAAACACAAACCTTTAATGGTGCATCAGTCTCCAAACGACCATTAGAGAAACGCTGAGGAAAACCTGCACTACAACACGTCAGTAACCTTTGCTGTTATCAAAACATTTGAATAGTTTTTGGAAGTGCTGACAAATTAATCTTCCACTGTTTGTTTTTCGGTTCGGCACCCAGCAGACATGACAGATTTAATTGAGCCCGCCAGTTCTTTTGTTAGTGCCATGTTTTTAAAGCAATTTGTTGTTTCTTATCAACTGACATAACTGTGAGTATCCTGCTGTAATAAAGTGCAAAGTATTTTAGAAACACTTTGATGACTCATTGCTCAAGGCTTAAGGCGTTTTCACAAGAAGATAACTCTCACTTAAGACCTGGACATGTTGTCAAGACTTCTATTGACTTCAAAAATGATTTTACATTCAAAGCAATCGAAGTGCCAGAGTTTCATGATGTTCTATTTTAAATTGTCCAATCTGTCAGGGATATTTGTAGTTAATAGTTGCATTTATTGGTACATTTGTTCATACATTTGTCCTTGAAAAGGAACAAAATATGTGTCCTTTGTGTCCTCAACAACTTTATTATTTATTAAGAACATTTTTTGTGTCTTTTCTCAGACCCTACATGATTTAAAACAGTTTCAGGAAGATGTATTTCATTCTGGCTGTTGCCTAATATGATGTCTAGTATGGTGAAACTCTAAAAGTGCGTTTTCTGTTTCTGAACATCCAGCACTTCATTTCTCTGCTTCTTCAGCAATGAAGTTCTTATATGTAAACGCAAAGAAGCCTGTTGTATTTGACCTTCATGTTTCCTGTATTCTAGCTGCTGTGAGAAGAAAATGTCAAGGCAGTGTCATGCTTTTCATGGTTTTGCATAATGTCTGCTATACTTAGAGGAGTAGAGGAAAAGGCAGTATGAATGTTATACAGTGAGTCACATTTCAAGCAGGAGGGAATGTAGCGTTAAGCAAGTAATGTAGATATACAGACTGATAACACACTTGTTAAGCACTTGGGGGGGAAAGTTGAGGAATTGACCTTGAATTTGTAGTCCTCCTGACTCAGGAACTCATAGCCAAAACCTATACCTCTGGACCCACCTATGAGAATGAGAATGGAAGGTAAATGGAAGCTAAACTATCAGCATTATTAAATTGTGGAATTCAGCTTTTTAAAGGGGCCCCATTATGCTAATGTTCAGGTTCATATTTGTTTTTTGTGACTCTACTGTGACATGTGACAGTGAGTGTGTGGGAGAGAAACTCCCTTTGGAGCGAGCACAGGGATTTTAGCCTTTGCAGACCATTTACATGCACAAAAACCTTTAAAACTCACTACAGGAAAGGGAAAACCCCTCAAAAGCGTAATAGGGCCCCTTTAACCCTCCTATTGTCTTCGGTTTCCCCCCCTTACTTTGGTGTTTACCTGTTTTAACTGCTATTACATTAACTCAAAAACCATTAATCATCACCACATTTAATTTAAGACCCTTTCAAACTGTAAATATTGTATCAGACTACTGGTGTACATGAAACACTGCAGTAAATATACAAAGAACAGACACTGAACATGTATTGCGTGTGCCAGGTGTGATCCATGTGGGGGGATGGGCACTTAAGAGCGGGGTGTGTGTGTGTTTCACATGGGGGGATTGGGCACATAGGGGGGGGGACACATCTAGGGTGTGTGTGGGTGTGTGTGCGCCATCGCCTTGTGTGTGTGTGTGTGTGGGTGTTTGTGTGTGTTTGTGTGTGTGTGTGGGGGTGTGTGTGTGTGTGGGTGTGTTTTATCTGATCCGGATGGTTACTAATTCCTTTTCTTTATGGCGGTCATTTTTGACCGGGAACACCATGGGTGTTACAAAGTTGACTAAATCATCCAAAATGCAATGAAAGTGGTGATCAGTAATTGTATGTGTTCAAATGTCTACTGTGAAGGATATCATAAAGCCTTAACGCAATCGAATGTCAAACAAAAAAGTTATGATTGATGAAAGTAGTAAATCGGTCAGATTTGACCCGAAGACAACAGGGGGGTTAAATAGTATCTATACTAACTGAAGAAAACCCAACAACACTATATGACGTAAGTTGTTGTTAGGATATTGTTTGGCTAAGTAGTAGTATTCTTTTTGGTTCCAAAATGTCAGAAAATGCCATTTCCACTCTCCAATGTAGAGATTTCCTGCTTTCCTCTGTTTTCTATAGTATTAAACGGAATATATTTTGGCTTTTGCACAAAGCATGACATTTAGGCATTTAGGGAAGGCGCAGTGGATAGAGCCTTGGTGTTGGATCAGGGGGTCACAGGTTCAAACCCCGCTGCAGTCAGCATGTCGTTGTGTCCCTGAGACACTTCACCCCAAATTGCCCCTGTGGGGATTGTCCAAAGTATTGAGTATGTAAGTCGCTTTGGTAACAAGTAACATGTAATGTAATTTAAAAACATCCCCTTGTCCTTTAAGAAACTTGGATGGATATTGTTTCACTACTTTCTGATTATTTGACCCTTAAATAATTGTTAGTTGCAGGTATACTTACAGCATAGAGGAAACAGAATATTTGTCTGGACAAACTTGGATTCCTTGCCTCAACATACTTTCCTGGCATTTTCTGTGTGTGGGTTTGTTAGTTAGAGTTCTTGGTGGATAATTGATTTCTGTGGTTGATAAATATTCATACAAAGACCACACTTCTTGGTCTCTAAGACGGAAAATTATAATTTTGACTGCGATTTCTCTCCACTCAGTGGGTCAGTAATTTAGACGTTTTGGGGATTTGTTATCTTCTTCAAAATGCCTTCAGTGGGATTTAGTGTTTAACGAATTGTGCTGAGCGTTTCTGCTGACAGAGATTGAAGTGTCTGCAGATAACAGCGGGCAAAGGTCACTCATGTTGCTGGTAATTGCACTTGCTTCAGCACAAACGGCCGTTTTCTTTGGTGAAAGCTGTTTGAGACCTTCTGCTGTAAGAATTCAGGCTTATGCAGAATACCTTGTTGTGTTAGACGCTGATTAAAACCCATCAGAATCAGCCCTGATGTGCTGTCGTGTCTTTGCAGTAATGTCTGACAGTTATGTATGACTCAGACGTGTGTGTGTGTGTGTGTCTTTTTGGCACGCTCTAAAAAATAAATATCCTAAATGGAAAAATTACATGAAACTGGCAATTACTGTGTTTTTGAATTTCCGGTTTAAAATGAAACCGTTAATTTAAGCCACACTTTCTCTTGTTCAGGCTTCACATGTTACTCAAACAAATACTGTATTTCAATTGGCTGTCAAGCTGTTAGCTGGCAGTTGTTGGTGTGTCGGACATAATGTAGTGTTTGTTTGAGTGGGAAGCATTTTAATATTTACCATAATGTAATATTTTAAAGCCTTGATTCTTAAAGATAGACCAAAATCCTGTGAGATTACATTGTACCGACCCGGAGATTTTTGTATAGTCCCTCTGTTATTCCTCTCTGATATAAAGTAACGTCTTTTTATTCCTGACCTCAGTATGACATGTAACACTATCGCTGCTCTAATGGCGTGTTCAAGAGCATTCCTCACATTCACACTTTTTTTTACTTTGCAAACCTTTGACCTTTGCCTCATAAACTGCAAAACAGTGAACCATATAACTTCGACTAGACAGAGTGTTTCTCAATGACGCTAAGTCAGGTCCTTCGGAAGCGAGGCAAGAATCCTTCCTAGCCTCGGAAAACGAAGAATGGTGGAACAAGCTAACAGGCTGTGTGCAGGTGTGCGTCATATGCGAGGCCCCGCCTTAAATGGAGTGCGATTTCTGCCAAAGATTTGGAAATTGGTCCATGCGCAAAGCATTGTGGGGATTTTAAGACCGCGGAGGATACACATGTGCAGCCTCGAAGTGTCTCGCTACGAAGTACGCTGGGCTCGTTAGAATTCCCAGAAGCCTGGACATTGGAACAGTCCTTCGGCGGGACTCGATGACGTAGCATCCTTGAAATAGTGGCTCTGGAGCATCCTTCCTTGACATTGAGAAACATCCAGAGACTCTGTCTGAAG